TTTTTTTTTGAATAGCATGTCAGTCATGTAGAGTTAAACACTATCGTGCCAATCATGCGCAGTTAATTTGCTTTTAGTCTCTAGCAGCGTTTGAAAGACGAAACAATCGACAGTTGTCCAGTGGCTGCTATTAAACCAATGCTAGTTATGGCTTGCTTATGAGCGACTTGGTCTCTAATGCAGACCGAGTCAGGAATGAGGGCAGGCAAAACGGCTCTAATTACAGGGATCTTTTCTTCAAAAGAAAGTAAACGGAAACTTGCCGCTCAAACTGAAGTCAACGCCATTAACGGGAAATAAAACAGATTCCTTCTCATAAACGCAAACTTGTCGATCGGCGCGCAAGTCAAAAAGCCGGCACTAGAAAATGCAAAACGTTGTTAAATAATTGTGACATTAATTTTTCAAATGAAGTGAAAATGAGTGGTTCCAATACCTATCACACTAAGCACAATGGCTAACTGTCTGGAAATCTCACCGACGCATCATCCGAGCCGGTGGCAAATGCATCCCCGTTTGGATGAAATCTGAGCGTATTAATATCGGCTTCATGACCTTCGAAACTCTGCACACATTGCCCCGTCCGTATATCCCAGACCAGCGCGTGTTTATCAGCTCCCTAAATAGTTTTATGCGCTGAATTAACTATCAAAAGTAATTATGATGAGCAAAAGTTGGTTTGGAACGTTTAAAGTAAGCGAGCAAGGATTCCATAGCTTTATGTTGCATGCAGCAGAAGCCAAAATTTCATCCAATTTCAATCTCCTTGGAAGAAGGAGGCACTTGGGAGCGATTTGAATGGCTATATTTCCGAGAAGCGCAAAAATTCGTCCAGTGATGAACTTTCCTGACAGTTATCCGAGAGTCTGATTCCCTAGCATGTTATGTACGCCAAAACCTAATCATCACTGAAACAAAACAACGAGTCGTCGGGAGACCGCCTTTTGCAGTACCAGATTCTAGAAACTGCATATACAGAACTATAAAAATAAAAATTTACCCCAGAAATAAATATATTCCCGGTGTCGCTTTTTGGGACATCAACAGCAAATACGTCACCGATGTGACCATGAAAATTTTGTATCATTTGACCACTTTCGACATCCCAAATAGCGCATGTTGAATCGCCGCTACCAGTTAGAAGCTACAAAAAAATCGCTGATTACAGAACTCATCTCGTTAAACAGGGCGAGAACTCCAGCTGCTTTCAATATTCTAAAAGCAGCATCACTGTTTGTAAGAGAGAAGGATCCACTTGAACGATCATACGGAGTATATGCGAATGCAACAAGTACAAAACTGAACGAAAAGGTACACCGTCTGCCAATCACAACGGCGATCAGAACGAAAGGCATTTCGTAAAAAAGGAAATGTAAGGAAGATCGCTGCACCGGCCCAAAGTTCAATGCAAAAGAAAAAACGAAGGTTTCGGAATCTGAAAAGAGAAGAAACCCACCAGGTTATCCGATCTAAGAAAAGTGCAGCAGGACATATAGCTTGTATGCGTGGCTACAGAACGCTTTTTCTGCAGAATGTCATCTTCGAAACTCAAAGGAACCACCGAACACTTGTTGTCTAGGCCCCTAAATAATATCAAGGATTAGTGAGCTCATTTGTCATAGAAAAATACAATTTTTAAATCGCCAAAATGCAGACTGTCTGACTATATGGACATGAAATTACACAAAGCTATCTCAAATTCTGCTACCATTACTTCATCCGTATGTGACAACCGCAAGCGCTTAACTTCGGCCTAATTTTGAGTATCGCTGTTGGTCAAAATGATGAGCACTGACTGGACAGATGTTCTGTTGTCACAAAATCATTCCCGCACCTCAGGAAGGAGATACATTACCATTTGCCGTGTCCAAACACGCTGTCAAAATTATGCGGGCTAAGGAAATGCATAAAACCGAGCCCGATGGGAAGATGAGAGAGCGAGCATAAAGGTTAAAGAGGTTCAAAAAACGTCTGAAAAGCGCAGGTGAACGAAAACTATTTTAAAAAGTTTAAATTTCTAGCTAAAAAACTGAGTTCGTACGGAACTGAGCAATAACAGACTGAACTAATACTACCTTGGTAAAGTGCTGTATCAGTACAATGAACAAGCGAAAAACCAGACGTGTATTTTCGTTTGTAAGAAACAGTATATAAGAGTGAGCAAATTAACAGAATAAAAAAGAAATTTGACGAATTGGTGAGTACCCGCAAGCGATCATTTGTGCACTTGGCGAGTACGCACAAGCCATCACCCAAGTTGTTGGCATTGTTAAAGCATGCTCCTTGTTGGTTGTGAAGCCATCCCAAACAATCACTTTACCATCCTGAAAAAATTCAGGACATCCAATAGCACGGTTCCAGCCAAAACAATTCCTGATCTGAATGATATAGCCCAGCCGCCAAGTTCAAGAGTATAGCTAAAGAATTCTCAACAAAATCATTCTGAAACAAAAATCGGCAACAGACGTGCCTGTGAGGATGAAACAATATGCCGTTTATCCAGGCACCAATCCATGCAAAGTACTTTGCCGGCGTGTCCTTTCAGAATACGTCGCTGTTTGATGCTGAGCTGTGTCAGTGGTTCCAGCCGTTCAGCCGCTTGCTCAACTGAAAAGCTTATGCGCCTGCTCAATTGGAAAACCTTGGATCCATTACACCAACACGCCCCACTCCTCCCACATTTGATTTAGAAAAAATGAGCATTACTTTCAAAAGCAAAAACTGCCGATGAACCGTCTCTACTGGGAAACCAGTTAATGTATTCTATAGGTGTTAGTATGCAAGAACACAAACACACTTTTTTTAAATAAAATTTCATGCTTTATAAACAATGACAATATGTAACACTTATAAGAAACTGAACAAATGGGAACAAACTCGAGACATCGTTCAATTTCTGTCGTTCCGCTTCAAGCTTCTTTCGAAGATCCTCGGCTTCTCTTGCCAGTATATCAACAGCATCCGAACTCCTAAACAATGAACTCCTGGGAGCACGAGAACTTTGACGAAACGAACGCAGCGAAGTTTATCTTGAAGGAAGGCAAAACCAAACCTAGCTCCAACTTCTGCAGCCACAGCCTGCTGGACGGATTCAATGACTTTTGCCGTTGTAGGCTCATCCGTACTAGTTAGTCCCTCTGTCTTCACTGAAAATAATTAAGCATTAAGGAATCAAGCACACACTAAATGTTAATAGCCCACTGCAGCCTTCAATATTTCTGAAGTACGAAGATGGAAAAAATTTGCATATGGTCCAAAGCGAAGCGAAAATCAATGGTACAGTTGTTCCAACGACACTACTGAAAAATTAACGACGTGCAACCGGATTACCGCATCACTGACACCGCTCCGACGGTCCTCGTTTACGGCTTTTTTGTTTTCACATTTAAGCTAAGCTTCGCCACCTAGCACTCTATATAATCCCAGCTTATGCCGACCGGCTTCATTTACGTACGTGCGACAGGTCTTCGGGAGTAGGCCGACCAGTCGTCTTGCAGATATCACTTACTGATAAACAAAGGTGATCAACGAAAAGGCCTTTTTCCGTGTAATAAAAACAAAAGCTCCCGAATTATTCGATCATAACGGAAGGTGCTAGCGAAGATAAAAATTTGTGAAACTCTTTCTGCAAAATTGGGGCTTTTTTTTGCAAGATTCAGCCTGGAGCAGCATATCAGATAGTCGCAGGAGAAGTGAACAGGCCTTAGTATAGGTTTATCGTTTTACACTCACACAGTGCAAGCTTACTTAGCACAATGCCTTTTTTATGCGTTTTTGCATATACGCAAATTTCAAAAACGCATATTGGGAAGAGGCTGTCTGTGTATGTCTGTGTATTCGCACTTTTTGTCACCCACTTTCAACTCGAGAACCAGAAAAGCTAGAAAGCTGAGACTTTGGGGGTATGTGCCCAAGTCATGCGTGACGCTCCCTTTTTAATTTCATTCCCTATGGCCGCGTACAAGCGCTTTAAAAAAACTACGCAATTTTTTTGGCGGGAAAGCGGTCTCGGGAACCACTCGAGTTAGGGAGCTGAAAGTTTGCAGGGATATTTCTGTGTATGTGTTAGCTAAAGATTTCAAATTCAGCCCCCAGCTATGCATTGTACTCACGTAAGGGCGTACGAAATTTTATGCGGGGAAATTATTAACTCGGAAACCAGAAAAGTTAGAAAGCTGAAATTTGAGGGGAATTTCCCTGTCCAAGTACAATTTAAGTACTTCAAATTCAGCCTTGAGGTATGCATGGTTCTTACGTACGGGCACTTAAAACTTTGACTGAATTTCTGACTGAGCAACTAGGCTACTTTTAAAAAACAATCGTTAAATGGAAATTGTACATTTATTTTACGCAAAATTTTTGGTGATTTATGCTAGTAACCGCAAAAGGTAGGTGTAAAGCAACAATCATTCACGTAGTTAATGACCTGTTTACTTCAAGTTCGGTGCAAAAACGCATAAACGCACGGCCCGCCCGGTGCGTTCCAGTCTGGGATGTATCAGTGTTAACGGTACTCATAGAGTTTTAAGTGAACAATGTAAATTCGACAGTAAAATGGAACGATTGAATTGGACGGTTTTGTGGGGTGATGCAAATACGGTAGGCTCAGCAACCAAGCGGAATAGCGAGACTGCCAAGTGCAGCATCGAAGACCAGAAGGATGTAAGTGTCGCTGCTTAAAGTATTAAAGTAAAGTTAAATCCAAAGTGCTGCGCAGAGTGGTAGTGCAAGCAACCATATGGAATGGAACGCCCGAAAAGCGGAGGTTCCTCTGCTCGGACGGTCAGAAGTATTATCAGACACAAAACCCGAATCGAATGCGTG